ATTCAATACTAAGAGGTCATTTCTAAGTAATGAATAAACATTTTTTTAGGCATTTCTAAGTAAAAAAAAGATTAATAATTTTAGCTTTGTATCGAACTATTGGATGGCGTTATAACGCTTTACTAAGTATAAGAATGGTTTTTATAATGGAGTGCTTTTTTTAATTTTGTTTTATTTTAAACTTTGAAGAAACAAACTGAGATTTTCAAATTGAAATGAAGATTTATTTTATATAAATAGCATATTGTTTTTCTACAAGTTAGTAAACTATTGTGAGCAAAGAAAATAGCTTAAATGAATGATTTCAAATATTACATTAAAATATTTCTTTTTATTACTTTCATTATTGTTTAAAATTTCAGCTTTCAATTTTCAATTATAATATTAGAATATTTAAATAGTTTCAGAGTTTATATTGTTCTCTTTAATTAGTTTTATTTGAAGATAATTTAATTTGCTGTGTGATTAAGTCTTCAACTGATCAAAGTTAGTATACCCTGTAAAAAAATTCCGGATCACGTTACGATATAAAATACTGAAATTTTAGATATACGTTATCCGCAAAATTCATTTTACTGCAAAAAACAGTTTATAACATAAAATATTACACCTTAATTTTTGCAGTAATACGAGTATTTATTTAATGATTCAGTGATTTTACTGTAAAAATTTCGGTATACAAGATTTTTTGTTCCGTAACATGTTCCAGTAAAAAAGGATTTTTAGGGAAAAAGTACCGGCACTTATTCCCGGTACTATCACCTTATTTTGATTCGTAATTTTTCATACTGAACAAAAAGAAGCATATTAATCATTAGCTTTGAAACAAATTGCTGGAAAACTTTGTAGCTATTTAATTAATTACTGGAATGATTTTTATAATAAAAAAAAAACAACAACTTTAGTTCTAGATAGAAGTCTCTCGTAAAAACAGTACGTCCTATGTTTTTCGTTCTAGATCTGTCGAGAGTAAAAAATTTCTTCCTTTTAAATCTACTTAAGAAACGCAGTTTTGAAGAAATGATTATTTTTTTTCTAAATTTCTATTAATTCGTTTATGTAAGAAAGTGATATAAATTTGGAATGGAGAAAAAATAATAAATTCTGCTTGCAAGAAACCAATTTTAATTTCTACAGCTATCAGATATTTTTATTTTATTTTCAATGAGCTGTACAATCAGTTTTTCCCGATGGGCAGACCTAGTGCGTTTTCCAGAGGTGGTATCCACTGTTTCAGGACCACTACAATGGTGTGAGATACCACTGGTCATGTTAATTTGGACGTCTAGTTTCTGCCACACTAGATGGCAGCACCGAGACTCTATTTGGATGCTAAAATGCACTAGGAATTTAATTTTGCCCGAAATGCCAAGAGCCAATAAGGCACTCTAGGGATCTTTTACATGCCGGATAATCATACGACATGGCCGCTGAGGATTTTTGGCATCCCGAAAATCCGGTGTCTGGGCCGGGGATCGAATCCGCAGACTTGGGCTCAGAAGGCCGACGACAAACAAACTGCGCCACCCAGCCACCTGCTATCAGATATAAAACTATCAATAAAAATTAAAGTATTGTAGCTAATCAGAAGGTGTGGAAAAATATTAGCATAACCTTAACATTGATTTTACGGTAACTTGGCAAAATAAATTCTTCTTTTAGTGGTTTAAATTTTTTTGAAGTTTTATTATTATCAAGCCCAGAGTTTTAGATAAAATTTAGGCAAACAAGCTTAGAGTTACACTTCAGTTTTGAACATTCTAACTAGTATGTGGTTCATATACGAATTAACTATGAACTACTTTTTGTTTATATGCGGTAATCAATGTAGCTAATATCATTCAGGAACCATTAAAATTCACTTTGTCATACAACACAGAATTTATATTAAAATTTGGGTATACTAAATAGCTATAAAGTGGTCAAAATTTTGATTCATGATAAGTATTGCTTGGCGAAATATGACTATTAACTTTTAGAGGTTCAAAATTGATTGAAACTTGCATTGCACTGTTAGAATTTTCATTCTAAAATTATAGTAAAATAACTGGCAGCTGTCTGTCCATCCGATTAACCGTAAGGTTTACGGTAAAGAACATTTTTTATTTTGATGGTTTCGTAACCATTTACAAATGGTATGGTTGTAAAACCATAATTACAAAACTATACGGTTTCTTAACCATTTACAACTAGGAGCTCGGCTTTTCGTAAGGTAATAGGCATTGGAGAGTGCCGGACACTGGAAATTCTTCATGTGTTGAAGAGAAGGGAGGAAATATTTTGGTGTCAATAGTGGATCTCGAACCCGAGTTCTGCCGGTCATAAGATTGACAGATTAGCCCGCTCGGCTATGATAAGTACGTAGTTGCTAAGAATTAAGTGACTTCATCAGATGGTCTTAGTTGGTGCTATAAAATTCTGATTGTTTAACCGCATTGGGTGAAAGCAGTTAATAAACTGTTTTTCTTACGCTTAACAGTTTGATTATTATTTCATTTATGATTATTTGACTCTTTTGATTGAATATGGTAAAATAACCATTAAATAAATCGTTATTTAACCATTTTTTTCAAGAAATTTCTAAGAGTGCGTCATTACAACCACAGCTCTGATTTGAATTTGAGCTCACTACACAGTGAAAAAAAATTGGTAAAAATTACACTACATGAATATGGTGAAATTTTTCCAGCTTTATGGGAATACCAAGTACGATAATTTTTAGCGTAGTGCTTTGGTAATGACTTTTGGTAAAATTACAAATAAAATATGCTTTTATTATTATATTGGTAGGTAGTTAATTTTGGTTAAATTACTTTCTGAAAAGTAATTACTGCGAAAGAAACCATAATTTCTAACAGTTCTAATATAATTTGAGGTAATGCAAAAATGTTCAGTTAAGAAGTAAGCTATAAGCCAATGCCTACCTTAAAACTACAAAAATATGCCTAGTTCTGAATATACATATACCAGAAAACACTGATTTAGATAAATAACTTAACTGTTAAATAGCTGGCTGTCCCAACATAAAACAGAATCGTGGAGGTAGTGAATTTAAATGTTGCCATAACTCCTGGATTCATATCCTGGACAAGGCATGGGTGTTCCTTCATTCTCTGTACTATCTGTTCCTACTGTGGGAGCAACGTAGACCCATTTAATATGAGGCTCTTAATATGGGGGTTAGATTAGTTTATCAGCTCAGTGGATTGAAAAAAAAAGATGGTAGTTCCTTTTGGTGGCTTATAATCAGATTTCAAATGGAATGTTATCTCAGAAACTTTGTAATTTTAGCGTTCTCTAGTTTAGAAGATGTTAAACTTTCTCCCGAATACTATGCCCCTCCCCATAGAAAATGAGGCAACTATGCAGCAACAAGAAAATTTTCATATATCATTTATAAAGAAGCAAGCCATAAGCCAATGCCTACCTACCTTTAAAACTACAAAAATATGCATAGTTCTGAATATACATATACCTGAAAACACTGATTTAGATAAATAACTTAACTGTTAAATAGCTGGCTATCCCAACATAAAACAGAAGCGTGGAGGTAGTGAATTTAAATGTTGCCATAACTCCTGGGTTCATATCCTGGACAAGGCATGGGTGTTCCTTCATTCTCTGTACTATCTGTTCCTACTGTGGGAGCAACGTAGACCCATTTAATATGAGGCTCTTAATATGGGGGTTAGATTAGTTTATCAGCTCAGTGGATTGAAAAAAAAAGATGGTAGTTCCTTTTGGTGGCTTATAATCAGATTTCAAATGGAATGTTATCTCAGAAACTTTGTAATTTTAGCGTTCTCTAGTTTAGAAGATGATAAACTTTCTTCCGAATACTATGCCCCTCCACATACAAAATGAGGCAACTATGCAGCAGCAAGAAAATTTTCATATATCATTTATAAAGAGATAGTAAAGATTTCTACGAAAAAAAAAATTGGGGGTATGATTTCCTTAAATAGAAAAAGTTTATCTGTACCGTTGGGCTACGCGATAAATTCCACTACGCGACAAATTCTATTACATAAACTCTCTATTCAAAATTATGCCGTAATTTTTTTCTCCAAAAACAGAGATTAAAAGAGATAGCTCCCTTAATATTTTGATACTTTTTTCTAATTATAAGAAATTATTAACTAGAAGAGAGTCGAAAAAAGAACAATAATATTAATTTAGTAAAAAATTTCTTAAATTTTAAGGTAGGTAATGAAGTTTCGTTTCGATAAAAAAAAGTACCCTTCATGCGTAGGGGAGAGTGGGGTCAATTGTAACGTATTTTACTTAACTGTTTTTAACTAACAAAAATCCAATATATTATTAGTATTAATTGACAGACGAGTAAAGTAGACTATCCTCTACTAGAAAAAAAATAAATACCTTATTTTAAATGTTATTATATTAGTTATTAACAATTTTTGACAGTCGTGCACTTGTTACAATTGTCCCCACTTACGGGGTCAATTGTAACAGTTCATAAATTCAACTAAAACATAGTTAATTATACATATTATCATAGTTGTGA